CAACTCCTTTTCCGTACGCCTCTGTAAATTGGGTGCTTCTGATCCCTCTGATTTCCCCTTTTCAATTCTGTACCGTCAGATTCCGAATTCCAATTGTTTGGCTCCGCCATTGATGACCGTATGAGAAGAAAGACGACCAAATCCAAAAATCTTCACAAGGAAGAAGAAGAAGAGCAAAAGTAACATGTGTGAGTTTCGTATGGAACATTGTATTATATATAAATAAACAAAAAATTTGTAGGCTCCTAACAAAGCGACTTATAACCAACCAAACCTTCTATAATTTCACATTAATTCCTAATTAAAATCTCAAATTATGACTTTTACACCATTTCCAATAATTTCAACATTTTTTTAATAATTAATAATCTTTTACACACTCCCTCTTAAGTTTTTTTTTTTTTTTTTTTTTTTTTTTTACTTTTAAATTATTGATTAAATTTAATGTTAAACAGTTAATTAAAAAATATTATTAACTTTATAAAGTTAGCTGATTAAACGTGGCATTTTATGAATTTCGTTTCTGTAATTTAAAAATGATTGTACTAATAAGAATAATGAAATGTGAAAGATAATTATGTATTTTGTTTAAAATATTTATTTACATTCATTTTCGTACCATATAATAATTAAAAAATGTAAATGATATTATATATAAAATAAAATTCATGTGATATTAGCATGACAAAAATGAGTCCCATTAAAAGCTTAAAAATTGGAAGTGGGTGGAGCCCATGATTTATGAAAGAGGAAGTCGGTGGATATTTGTTACGCATTAAATAAAATTTAATTAAAAAATGTTTATTTAATCCGTAGAATCCAAAGAACTCATCCCAAAGGATGCAAAATTCTTGTTTTAAGACGAGAATAGAGATAGATCTCTCTCCGTTCGCGAAACTGAATCGAAGATGGAGACCATATTTTCCGTCCCAGTTTTCAACTCGTCCTACACTTATTTTAATATATTAAACATTATATTATATTTTTCTATACTAACAACCTGAAGTAACCCTAAATAGTTGGTGAGATTTGACTGCATTGTAAAGATAAAATTGGAACTTTTTATACTCAAGCAATTAAATTAGCATATCTTTAACCAAACGGTTAAAAGTTCAATTCTTCGGCTCGGGACTAATTAATCAAAAGTCATAATCATAAGGGGATTATTTCAATATTTAGGTTAAAAAATTTAAAAAGTTGTCATTAAAAAAGAGTGGCAAGTGTTTATTGATTAATATTAATATGATTTGGTCTTTGTGGAAAAGAAAATTAATTTTAAATTTTAAATTTTAAAAATGACAAATTTACCTTTTAAAAATTTATATAGTCAATTTTTCGGTTCATAAAAAATAAAAAGGGTGCAATTAAATAGCTTTATTAGGGATGAGCCTGACACAATATTAAGTATAATTTACAATCCAATGGGTAAAAATTAACCATTTATTCATGTGAAAATGAAAACACAAGTGGTTTTTTTTTTTTTTTTTTTTAATTCTTCATTAAAAAAATTGATTTGATTTATTTAGTCAATCCAAGTCAAGTTTAATGCTATTTTTAATTTAGCTAATTTATTTATTTATTTTTAGAATTACAAAACACTAGAATATATTGTAAATTGTGATGACTTTTGAGACCATTGAGTCATTTCAAAGACAATGAAAAAAAATAGTTTTAGATTCTTTTTAGAAGAAAATTGTTTGAATAATTACTTTCTTTTTTATTTTCTGGAAAAACTATTTTTTTTTAAAAAAAATTCCAATTTTAAAAATTATACACCCGTCCTCTTGCAAAATTCATTAATATGATATAGTTGACAGTTGATTATATTTATAATAGCTACACCAATATAGTATTTCCAATTATTCATTTATTAATATCTTTTTTTATTTTATATATATATATAGAAAATGACCTCAAACTCTCTAACCCATTTAGATCTACAAATAAATTTGCAATTAATAAAAACTATAAATGGTTGGATCCAAAATGTGCTCGAACTAATCGAACCTAACTCATAAATAAAATCGTTGGTCTATTCGATCTTAGATCCTTTCAAAAACCCTACCATACAACTCTCGTGAAATTTAATGCAACTAAACTAAGTAATTAAAAAAATGTTGAAAATAATATAATTTAATTGAAATAAACTAGAAGTTTTCATATGATCTAATGACTTGAACGATTCCGATTATTTAACCTAATTTTTTTCTATTTGGATTGGATTGGTTTCGTTCTTTCCAACCGGTGTGGATCTCACAATCCACTCTTCTTGGGGGCCTGCATTCTCGCTGATACACCACTCGGTGTCTGGCTCTAATATCATTTGTAATAGCCCAAACCCATTGCTATGCTTTGGCCCATTACGTATCGTCGTTAGCCTCACAGTTTTAAAACGCGTTTACTAGGGAGAGGTTTCCACACCCTTACCACAAATGTTCTGTTCACCTCTCTAACTGATGTGGAACCTCACATAAAAAAAAATCGGATCGACCCCACCTCACCCAATCCGAAAATAGAAAGTTGGGTTGTAAACTTTATTATGGTCATCAGTGTCACCAAGATTCAAAATTTTGAATTGGTCCAAAAATTTTCTGATCAGTGTATAGCACTAGAACTAATGATTATTCAATTACGACTGATATCCATGATAGTAGTACATTATGATCATCAATTTGGTTGTTGTTGCTACCAATTTCTTCCTGTTCGTTATGATCTATGTAAATTGGCCTACGAATCTATCGACCACTCCATGCCTCTTATTTCATTAATTAAATATTAAAGATCCTTTCTCAATTCACTTTAATTAATGTAATAATTGCACCAACTTTTCCAACAAATGATGTTTCTTTTTCTAATATTATACATGAACAAAACGCTTCACATTTATGAAATTTTTTATTTTATCTCATCTTATTCATTAAATCATAATTCAATTATTGCCTAAAACTTTACATTAAAATATTTATATAAGAAGAACGAATAAGCACGCATAAACTTCTAGAACCTAACCTATAGTTCAACTCTAATTTTGGTACATACCCTCATTTCAAGCGAAGGGTTAACATGAGCGAGTACAAAAATACTCTAGCCCACCTGCAATGTCGTTGTACTTAAATGTGACAAAGTCGTGAGCTCTTATTATATAGCACATTGGATTCTGAATGTTCACTAATTCTTGTTTTATGACATAAAATTCATAGTTATAAGGTTAATTGATCCAGGTGTGCAACTAGCTAGTTTCTTGTTAAGCCAAGTAAGCTACATGTACGAGCGAGGAAGTTGACAATCATCTAGAGTCCCATCAGAGTAACATCATAAAATAAGGGGAATGATCTCGTGCCTAAACCAAGTATGATACTTATATGAGTCAGACATAAATGACTCCTCATTACTAGAGCTTAGTTTAAAACTTTCTAGAGCCGTGTCATAGTACATCATAACGTGTCATGATACATACATAATTATAAATATGAGACACATAATAGTTGACATAATCATGAGTACGAAACAACATGTTGGCACCATAGATAGTTAGATTCTATCGTTTAAGTTTTACTTTAAAAAATCATGTCATGCTATAATATTTTATTTATAGTCAGTATACAAACCAACCCCTAAAGAAAGTATTAACCTCTCCACAAAATTCCATGATTTAGTCGTTCTTACATGATCAATACAAAATTTCATAGAAGATTGGTGAAAGTTTCTATTTGTGGTGAGTGAATGCTCTCGTGCGATTCACTCAATAGTGTCGTTTGTTTGACATAGAGTCGACAGAACGAGAGGGAGATCGTGATAGGTTCCAGATTGTGGACTGATTCAATATGCAACAGACGACGACTTCTTGATTCCCAATAACCACATAATCACTTTGAGATAAGAAATGGATTAACCCCTTTGAGATTATTAATACTACGAGAGTTTTACTATTTTTAAGAAATACTCGTAAGAAAGCTCTTCCTTGAAATTTATAGATTATAGTAAAATATTCCATAAATTTCGTATTAAGCTCTCTATTTTATCAATATTAATTTTACTTTGCAAAATATTTGTAATACAAAAGTTGATTAAAATTTAAAAATAGAATTAAATTTTACAAATAGCAACATTAATATTAATTAAATAATAATAATAATAATGAGACAAGAATCCCCATAGGCACATCATGTGCATGCAAAATCATTATATATAGACTTTATTGAAAATCATTATATATATAGACTTTATTCTGTAGGGACACGTATTTATTTTTATTTTTATTATTTTTTTAAATGGGGGACAAACCATACAAGTTGATATTTAATTTCTTCTTCTATATATTTTTTAAAAATAATTTAACTATTTTTAAGAAAAAAATAAATTACAATTTTACAATATTCTTTAATCTCTTTCACTTTTAAAAATATAGTAATACAATTTATACCATAAATGTAAGACTAGGAATCATAGTTTAAAAAGAGATTTAGATTTGAATTTGATAAAATAATGTCATGATCATATGTTGGTATTAATCTCGCAATAAAAATTTTAAAATAAAATTCGTAAAAATATTTTGTTTTTTTGGGGTAAAATTTTAAAATAAAACTTGATTTACATAAACACATGTTTTCTAAGTATTAGCGTGAAGTGAGCATATATACTTGATATCTTGAACAGCCACAAGAAATGTGTTTACTAGAGCATAAGGTTCGAGAAGGAGATCTGATCGACCATATTTTAGTACCATATTGTAGCACTGGTGAAAATTTTAAAAATTAAAACTTATAATTATTGGATGATGAAAGTCCCACGTTGGCTAATTTAGGGAATGATTATTGGTTTATATACAAACAATACTCTCTTCATTGGCACGAGACCTTTTAGAGAAGCCCAAAACAAAGGTCTGAGAATTTATACTCAAAGTGGACAATATTACACTATCGTGGAGAGTCATGCTATATATATGTATATAAAAATGGGATGAGTAATAAAATCATTAATTTTTAAAAAAAATATGTGGGCCCATGAACTATATTTATCATAAAAAAGATGCCTGGAAACAGTCCGTACATCATCTACTCAGTCCCACCATGATCATAATCATTACCGAATTCGAAGGGTTAAAAACTACCCGCCCCTTCTACTGCAAAATTCTACATCATCCGACTGAAATCACCGCCGTTGTGGCGGTGGATCAAGTACTCCTCACCCCCCTTCCATCTCCCCAACTGTTCTACCTCATTTTGCCGTCGAAGTTCCATCACCTTCCGGTGAGAATTCGAGTGCTTCGTCGACATAAATGTCGGGCTCGCAGCAGGTCGGTATTCCGGTACCAGTCGACCCGACTTATACCGGACCCCACAAGCATTACAAAGCGTTTTTGGGCCCATAGGCCCAGTCCGCCACTGCGGCGTCTTCTCCGCCGCGCAATGCTGGCATTTCCGGCCTGACGTCATTTCGGACTTTCCCGCCTCTGGAGCCGTCGCCCTGAGGACGCGCGTGGACCAGTCGCAAGGAGAACCGCGTGATCGTTTGCTTCGGGCTTTGCCGGGGAGAGTAAGAGCTTCACCGTGAAAAAACGATGTCGTTTTTCCACTTCCGTAACCAAACGCCGTCTCTCCTGAAGACGACGGCGCTTCTAGAGTCACCGCCGTACCGATCCCCCCGGAGAGAAATGGAATCGCCTGAAAATCCTTCTCAATCTCCTCCGTCGAAAATGATCCTTCAACGAAATTCGACAGCCATTCGAGCTCCGCCAAATCGTCGCACTGTAAAAAAAAACAGAATCAAATCCAAAAAATTTCACAGAATTTCACAATCAAACAAAAACGCTCCAATTTCTAATACCGGAATGCAGAGTTCGTTAGAGAATTGAGCTTCACAGAAGCCTCCAGACCCAAAATTTCCCAACACCAAGTTATCGCCGCTGGAGGCCGACGAATTGCAGCTCTCAATCGCAGTCACCGTCGAAGAATCACAGCAATTTCCGGCAACGTTATCGAAGCAACCGCTCTGCATTGCCATATCTTCATTGGAGAAATCCAATAAATATTCATCAACAGCGAACTGCTCGGCGGCGGATTTCTGCTTGTCCGGCGAAAATTGACCGCCCTCGGTGCCGTAGTAGCCACCGACAAGATACTCGGGCACCTCCATTAACGCAGAGCAAGTTACTGGAGAGTAATTTGAGTTGCCAGAGAAGAGTGGAAAGGGGGGTTTTTGAGAAGGCAGAGGCGGGGTGTAAACGCAAATATGAAAAGTTTTGGGCATCTTTTATGCATGAAGTTAAAATAAAAGTTTATAAATTCAACTCATTTAACCTTTAAACTTTTAATATAAATAAATAAATATAATTTAATAGTGTTTAACTCCAATAATGTTAAAATATTTACAGAGGAATCCTCTGCTCCTAATAATTATTTTTCGTTGGGATAAGTGATTTTTGGTATTTTTAAAATTATTGTGAGTCCAATTAAAAATAATATGGCCAATCATGACCATCTTTAATCTGTAACTATATTCCTAAGCCCACGTTTAAGCACGATGGTTACAGCTCAACTTTGTAAAATTTCACGGCTTTCATTGGATTAAGATTAAGGATAATGTTTAATTAATACTTAATCTAAACTTATGCAAATACTTAGTATAGTTTCCATTTTTTGAAGCTAAATTTATTAGAATAAATGACCCATTTATAAAATACTATTTTACTTTAATTTTTTTTTTTAATTTTTAGGATTATAATTATATAAATTTAGTTTATGATATTAAATCTTATCTAACTTAACAGAAATATAGTAATTATCTCTATTCGATAAAAACATATAGTAATAATTTATATTTAGTAGAAGACAACTATAAATTTCTAATAATAAAGAAACTTATAAATATTTTGAGTGATATAATATTTTAACTAATTAAACTGTGTTTATAGATAAAAAAAAAAATGTATCTTTTTTGTAACTATTTGGTACGGGATAGAATTGAATGTACAGCGATAAAGAAAGGAAAGTGGTAAGAAATGCAATAGAATATTATTATTAGGTTTAGGTGTGATTAGATTAAAAGAAAATCTATTTAGGTATGACTTTAAAATTGTGGACTTTATGAAGGGAGGCAACAGTAGTGTTTGAGCAGCACGTGACAATGGTGGGAATGTGTCAGGGATCATGTGACAATCCTCAAGTTCCGGTTTCTTTTTCTTTTTTCTTTCTCTTTTTAAATTTTTATTATCATTATTATTATTAAATAATTTTGTTTTATATTATTTTGCATTTTATCCATCAAATTATTTTGTAGTTGATATTAAAAATTAGAAAATATATAAACATCGATTTGATCAAATAATCTGGTCTCATCTGTATCATTCTCATAGGTAAACGATAATTTTAGTTAATTATAAGTTTACGCGACATAATAACCAGTACCTCAGAAATTTTAACACAAATATATTTCGCCATCATAATTTTGAAGATTTATGGGAATAATGTGAACTAAGGGGAAACAAATAATGTTGAACCTATGATCCACCGCCATCCTCTTATGGGGTGGGGTAAGGTTGAGTGAGATGGAAAATAGTATTCATCAAACTTCATAGATGCAAAAGATAAAGAGTACTTGTAATGAATACAAGTTAAAAGCTCCCAAGCTCTCGCAATCTGTTGGCAAATTGATCACTTAGAGACTTAAATTGTGTCAATTATACCAAAATCTGTATCATTTTAAACGCAGAGAGGTTCAGAAGTGAGTGTTGTTAAGTAAGAAAACAAGTAAAACAGAGGGCACTAGGGCTCAACAGTTGAAACCTGCTGCCAATCGCCGTCCACGGCTTCCTTCCATAAAGAAACATTGTTATTTCCATCAGCCACGGCCAGGATGTTGCCTGTTAACGACCATGATACCCTCCAAACAGGGGTTTTGAAGTCCTTTAGAACCTTACCTTCCCATTGATCTCCTTCTCTGACTACAGTCCAGATAACAACTTTCCCGTCTTGAGACGCACTTGCAATTGTCGATTTTGGCAGACCGAGGTTAGAAGCCCATGAAACATCTCTAACCCAGTCGGTATGCATTTGAAGAGCTGGAAAGCAATCCATCTTCCAAACCCCATTATAGAGTTTCCATACCTTCACCGTATTGTCACAACCGCCTGAACATAGCTTCTGAACGGGATCAAGTAAAGCAGAGCCGACAAGGGCACCTGGTGCAGTAGATGGAGCCCATGAAACAGATGTGACTCCCACAGGGTGAGCTTGATCGATTCTAGAGGTGTCCCAACCACCGTCTGCTCTTGCAGTGAATACAGAGATATTGCCATCAGATGAACCACATGCCAAACAAAGCCCCACTTCATGAGGGGCCCAAGCAATTGAGTTAACAGATGATTTATGATCATCGAAAATATGGGCTTGTGACCACTCATTTTGATTGCCTTCCTTCCATAAGATGACACGACCATCATAAGAACATGAAGCTAGCAAGGAACCAAACTTTGGGTGCGCCCAGGCAACCTGCCATACAGGTCCTAGGTGACCAGTTAGCGTTGCGAGATGCTGAGTGGCTGAGTTGCTTACACCAGTGATCTTGATGGTCTGGTCAGATGAAGCTGATGCAACACGCTTACCGTAATAATCCATTGCAACATCATGGATGGTGTCTTGGTGACCAGTTTCAATCTTTTGGGCAGGCATCCTCTCTGGCTTCAAATTCAACGGTGAATAATAGGAACTGGAATTGGTACTTGATTTTCCTCGTAGTTGATCTCTGTAGAAAATCATATCTTAGAAGAAGATATTTTTCATAGACATTATAGGGGAACTTCTAAACTTAGATGTCTCTCTCTCTCTCTACACATCAATTTAGTCTTAAGCTATGGGCTATGACAATTCAATGTCAGTAAGAAAAGTCTTCTCATATGGCCTATTTTTTTTTATCCTTCCTACGTTTGATTTCCATGTCTCATACTTTTAGCCAGGAATAGAACATTGTAAATGGTATAATTGAAAAGAAATGTCTCGCACCAGCTTTATAAATACAGCTTCAAAGAAAATGGATCAAAACCCTACAAGTAACAGGATGTCATAGCTGACTGCTATAAAAGGGTGCGTTACTCCTTACTAACAAGTTGAACTGCCCAAAAAGTGGACATAATAGCATACTAAAACTAAAAAATAGAGCAAGCAAAACTCCACAAAACTTCTTTTGTCGGATGAGAAATAACAATATTAGAAATAGTAAATGTGTTAATCAAGGACGAAACAGAGCAAACACAATTCCACCAATCTCTCTCTCTCTCTCTCTTGAATAAGTGAAAGCATATTATCAATAGAAAGAGTATAACACAAAGAAGGAAAACAGGGCATGCACAATTTAAGAAAACTCTTCTTCTTTTCATCTTCTTTTTTGGATAACAAAAAACATATTAGAATTAAAAAACACAAACTAATAAAAAATGGAAACAGCGCGTGCACAATTCCACAAAACTCATCCTTTTTAAGATAAGAACTAACATAATAGAAATAGAAAATGTATAATAATCAAGAAGGGAAGACAAACTAGATTGATCCCTGCAAGAGCCACTTCAGATTGCAACCCCTTTATAGCTACTTGTCCCAACAAGTTGTCCAAGTTAGTTACCTTTAGCAACGAAATCTAAGCTTTTACCAACAAAACACAGGGGCTAATCAAGAGCTGCAAAAGAAAAGCTAGGATGTTTCTGAGTGCTAGACCACCTAATATAAGAACTTCAAAATATCAACGACCATATTCTGCTAGAAAGTGGCCCTTAAAGAAAAAGTGTTCAGAGATTTCCACAACTTCCCCACACAAAAAAAACACCAATGAGGGCGTTCAGGTATCACTTCTGAACTTTGAGGAAAATGTTCAGCATGCCACAACCAAGGTACCGAAGGAATTTTTATTTGGAAGTCCAAGGATAATTGTAGAACTTAGTTTCTTCGGAAGGCAAAATTCCCACTAAAGAATACTTCGGAATTGTTGTCATCATGTTCCATTTAAATACAAATAGAAGTTAAATTAAGGGTTGACTAATAAACGGTGAGGACAAACTAATTGTGAACAAAACAAACATAAAATGTGACTTCCGATAGTAAACAAGAATCTCTCCTCCCTCTTTGAAGTAATCCATCGATAAAACTAAAACACAAGGATGTTAAATCACAGGCTTAAACTATAACAAATTTAATCAACAAACCCCTCACAGGTGGAAACACACCTAAGCAAACCGAAAGAGAAATTCAGGAACCTAACATTCATCATCATAATAACCAGATCAGATCCAATTATAACCCGAAGCCCTAGTTTCAATTTTTACGATCATACAAACGAATGCGGACAAATCAGCCAATTAAACCAGCCAAAATCAATAAGACGATCACGAAAAAACAAAAAACCACTTGATCACGGGCAAACCATAAATTGCAGAAAGTTCGCCGAAAAACAGACATTAATTCAACAAAGAAAACGTTGATTAAAAAATAATGTGAATGCTGGCAATAAAAATGGAAATGAAAACAACCTTCGATAGCACGCGGATTGTAGAGCCAATTGGAAGGGTATCTACTTGGTGGATGCGAAGGACGGAAGAAGAAGGTACAGAAATTCAGTTCCAAGTTCCTGCTCGTCTTCAATGGCGCTTCTGATTTCCGAGACGGTGGTACATAAATTCGATGAGCAAAGCGTTGAAGGTCGAATATGGGCTTTGACTTGGAGAGGTAACAAAGCCCATATTGTCCATCGGCCCACATCAATGGGCTTTTCTCCAATATTACACCCATCCACAAAATCAAATTATAAGGTTAGAAAAAAAAAATTGATCTTAATTCTAAACCCTCTCTTTTAACTGTAATAAAAAATAAAAATAAAAATAAAAGTTCAATCCACTTTTAAAAAAAAATCCAAAATTATAAAAATACACCCGATGATTGTTATGATATTGATTGAAATTGTCCACGGAGTATAAACTCTCATAGATTTGCTTTGGGCTTTCTCAGAAAGCCTCATTTTAATGGAGATAGTATTCCTCACTTATAAACTCATGATGTTTCACTAAATTAACCAACGTGGGACTCATTCCCAATAATAACCTCCAATAATCCTCAACAAGCAATATATGTTCAAATCTGTAGCCTTGATTTGAGAAGAAAGTTGTAGGAAACGAGGGTGGAAAGATTTTGAAAGAGTTTAAAAGTAAGATTGATACGACATAAGCAAAAGACAACACAACTTAAGTAGCGTATAATTTTTTGGGA